AGCCAGCCAGGCGCCCCAGCGGTTCACCCTTTTGGTAGCATCCTTTGAAACATAAATGTGTTTAAGATTGATAAAGCCCAATTTCTCTATTTTTTCTTTTATTTGGGTGTGCTTTGGGTGTCCTCGCTAAGACATCGCTTCCTGACCCAAGGCTATGAAGATTCACTTCCGTGTTTTCTTCTAAGAGTTTTATAGTTTTAAATTTTTGTAATTTTGGCACTTACATTTAGGTTGTTGGTCCCTTTTGGGTTAATTTCTGTATGTGGTGCCGGGTAACGGTCCGGCTTCATCCTGTTCCCTTCTTCCCAACTCAGTTGCCAGCTCTCGTCAGAACTCAAGTGACCCTAAGTGGGAGGGTTTATTTCTGAACGTTTAGTTCGGTTCTGTTGATCAGCCTGTCTGCCCTTACTCCAGACCCACCCTGTCCTGTCTGCTGTCGCTTTGGCATAAGTTATAAAATCCCAAAGTGTGAGTCCAACTCTGTTCATCTTTCTCAAGATCATTTTGGCTGTTCCGGATCGTCTGCATTTCCATATGAAGTTACGAGCAGCTTGTCAATTTCTACAAAAAGCGCAGCTGGGATTTTGATGGGAGTTATTGACAGTCTTTCTAGGCTGTTTTTGAAGAGTGATGTTTTGTACTTTTCCCAGGACAAATTCTACAGTCCATTTGTTGAATTTATTCCTAAGTAGTTTATTATTTTTGATGCTATGGTAAATGAAATTTTCTTTTTTTTTTAATTTTTAGTGTTTATTTATTTTTGAGAGAGAGAGGCAGACATGACCAGGGGAGGACAGAGAGAGAGAGGAGACAGAATTTGAAGTAGGCTCCAGGCTCTGAGCTATTCACATAGAGCCTGACATGGGACTCGAACTCACAAACCATGAGATCATGACCTGAGCTGAAGTCGGACGCTTAACCAACTGAGCCACCCGATGCCCTATGAATGAAATTTTCTTAATTTCATGTTCAGATTCTTCATTGCTAGTGTACAGAAATACACACAATGTTTATATATTGATCTTGTATCCTGCAACTTTAAATTATTTATTAGTCCTAATAGTTTTCAGTGGATTCCTTAGGGTTTTCTGTATACAAGAACCATGTCATCTACAAATGTGGTTTTACTTCTTCCTTTCCAAGTTGGTTGCCTTTTGTTTCTTTTTCTTGCCTAGTTGCCCTAGATACAACCTTCAACACAACACCGAATAGAAGTGACAGGAGTTCGGGGCGCCTGGGTGGGTCAGTCTAAGTGTCCGATTTCGGCTCAGGGCGTGATCTCACAGCCATGAGTTCGAGCCCCAAGTCGGGCTCTGTGCTGACAGCTCAGAGTGTGGAGCCTACTTTGGATTCTGTGTCTCCCTCTCTCTCTGTTTCTCCCCTGCTTGCTCTCTCTCTCTCTCTCTTTCTCTCAAAAGTAAATAAACATTTAAAAAAATTTTTTAAAAGTGACAGGAGTGGACATCCTTGAAATGGGGGGAGCTTTCAGTTTTTCACCATCAAGGATGTTAACAGCTGTGGGATTTTAGTAAATGCCCTTTATCAGATTGAGGAAGCTCCCTTCTACGCCCAGTGTGTTGAATGAGGGTGCTCCCATGAAAGGGTGCTGAATTTTGTCAGACGTTTCTTCTGTGCCTCTTCAGACCATTATATGGTTTTCATCCCTTTTTTTTCTGTTGATGGGCTGTAATACATTCGCTGATTTTCAGGTGTGAAAAACTCCCTTGCATTTCTGGGGCTAAATCTCACCTGTTCAGGGTATATAATCCATTTTCTATGTTGCTGTATGGTTTGCTAGTACGTTGTTGAGACTGTTTGCATACCACTGGTGTAATGATTATCTATATTCATAAGAGATACTGGTGTGTGTGCTCTTTTCCCACAATGCTTTCATCTGCTTTTGGCCATCTTTTTTTTTTTAATGTTTATTTATTTTGAGAGGGGGGGAGAGCAGAGGAGGGGGAGAGAGAAAGAGAGAGAGAGAGAGAGAGAGAGAGAATCCCAAGCAGGCTCCACCCTGTCAGCACAGAGCCCAACGCGGGGCTTGATCCCATGAACTGTAAGATTGTGACCCAAGCTGAAATCAAGATGCTTAACCAACTGAGCCACCCAGACACCCCTGGTTTGGGCCACTTTTATCTTTCAGTGAGGCATAGTGTTGAACAGGAGAGGCTGGTCACCTTCTCCCCTCCCGTGCTTGCCTGCATCTAGCAGGAAGCGGGGCACAAAAGCTGAGGCCCGAGTCCAGACAGTGTCAGCAGAGGTCACAATGGGGTGGATGCAGCCTCATCTGTAAAATGGTGTAGGAAACCTAGCCGACAGCCTGGAGGCGGCGGGCTGGGCCTTCCTGTTCTGAGCCTTGTGATTGCCAGCAACGACTGCACCCAAGGGAGCTGCCATATACTGGACCTTAAAGAAGGAAGGACAGTGGGGGAAAACCTGAGGCCCTCCCCGGCTCTGAAGCTCTAGGAGCTCGATTCTGACAGCTAACTGAGCGGCTCGCCCTCCCTGGTAGGTGGCTGGCCCCGATCTTGCCTGGAGGCCTGTGTGGTTCCTGGTCAGGCCCTTGTCGTGGGGGCCAGCCACTCATAAGGAGAGGTCGGCCGATGCTCTGGAAGGCCTGCCCCCGCTGGGGGAGGCCCAGAAAATGGCAAGTCCCTTAGGAGCAGAGCTGGGCAGCAGCCCTGTGGGCCCTTTCCGCACCCGGCTCCCGCAGCAGAGTGGGAGGCTCTAAAAATGAAAGCTGCTGATTTCCCCGCCCCAGCCAGGGACGGGCGACCAGCTGGCACTGTGGCACCAGTGGGACTCTGGCAGATCCTCTTCTACCGTCAGGTGTCGTGCTAAATAGTCACCGGAGTCCCTGCGTGACCTTGAGGGGGTCACTCCCTCCCCAACTCAGAGCCTTGCCCAGGTGCGCACACCAGGCGGGCTGCGGGGTTGGGAGCCCAGGGTCCTCCCCTCTGCAGCCTCGCCGATCCCTCCTGGGGTGGCCAGGGCTGTTTTTGTGCCCGCAGCTCCATTCGGAGGCCCAAGGTCCCTGTGCGAAAGCCCACGAGGCAGGCAAGGGCGCTGTCACTGCTCGCTGCGGCCGAGGGTCTCTCCTCTCCTCTCTCAGCGCCCACCCGCCCCTCCCCATCAGCGGTCAGGCGGGCGGCGCAGGGGGAGAGTAGCATCTGGTGGGCAACCAGCCACCAGCTCAGCTGCCCCTCAGGGTATGGTGTCGTCTTGGATCCCGTGGTTGCTAGGAAAATTCTGCCTGCAGTGATATTTCGTGGTCCTCGCACTGAGGCGAGAACAGAATGTTCCCGAGAAGACAGGGGAAGGATTTGTAGGGCTTCCCGAGCAAAGGAGCCCCCATCCCAAGAGGTCAGATGATTTGAGCTTCTTTCTAGAAGCCTGTCCCCCTTTTCGGGAAGAGAAGTTGTGCTGGTCACGACAGAAGCACATCAGGGCAAGTTGGGGTGCGAGGGGCAGGGTCGGCTCCCTTGACAGCTCCAGGGTGACCTGGTGGCCAAAGGCACATCTCTGTGATGTTACCTCCTTGTGTGAGGGCCCTCCCCCTGCAGCGCCCCAGCGGGGTGCCTCCCCCACCCCTTGGTTTCGGGGGGCAGTTAGGAAGGAGGAGCCGGTGTGGGGGAAGGCCACCAGCACCATATGGGGTGGGGGGGCGGCGAAGCTCAGCCACAAACCACACACGTCGGCCCCCCTCTTCTGTGGCCTTTCCTGCGTCTGCTCTCCCCACCCTCCCTCCTGGGGAGAACCCCTCAGGCAGCACAGAGGAGAAGCCTGTCACAGAGGCCACAGCAGCTGATTATGGTTCCAGGCGTGACCAAGAATTGCCCTTTAGGAAAAGGGGAGGGGCGCCTGGCTGCCTCAGTCAGTAAATGTGCTGACTCCTGATCTTGGGGTCTTAAGTTCGGGCCCCAAGTGGAGTGTAGAGATTTTTTTTTATCTTAAGGGGCACCTGGGTGGCTCAGTCAGTTAAGCACCCAACGTTGGCTCAGATCATGATCTCAAGGGTTGTGGGTTTGAGCCCTGTGTCGGGCTCTGCACTGACCTTGCTTGGGATTCTCTCTCTCCTCTCCCTGCCCCGCCCCCCCTCACTCTCTCTCAAAATAAATAAATAAACTTTAAAAAATCTAAAAACAAATACTGTGAAGGAAGAAAGGGAGGGAGAAAGGAAGGAAAGAAAGAAGAAAGGAAAAGGGGGGAAGGCCAGGGCCCAGGGGGGGTCAGCACCTGCCAGGCAGCTCACCTTGCCCTGAGGCCTCCTCCCCTGCCCGAGCTGCTCTGGGACGCGGAGGCAGGTCAGTGTTTTGAACACCTTCCCCCCTCCCCCCTGCCTTTCCTGGCTGCATGTCAGAGCCTGTCTTATGGAAAACAAGACAAAGGAAGTGATTTCATGAGTGCCTGGACCAGAATCTCAAATCCATGATTAAAAATAACAGTAATAAAGGTTATGGCCATTATCTATCTCTGTAGGAGCTAGGCCGACTGCAGGCCAGAAATGGGCCTGGCTGTGCCCTTTTGAGCAGGTGCTGGGTTTGGGCAAAGAGGAATGGCTACTGGGAATCCTAATGAGCCTCCAAAGGATCAAGACATAGGTTGTAAGAAGAAAGAGGGAGGTTCCCAGAGGCCCGTGGCTTTGGTGACCTGGGAGGAAGGGATGTGAGCAGAGCTCTGCTCTAGGACCCGCAGCCCTGGGTTCTTGTCACCCAGGCTTCTCAGTGGCATAGCCTTGAGCAATGCCTCCTCCCTGCCACCCTAGGGCAGGGCTGCTGGCGCGTCCCCTGGCCAGGCAGGCTGTAGGGAAGGCCCAGAGAGGGGGTGGGCTGCTTCGGAAGCAGTTTGCACTGGGGGGGGGGGGGCACCGCATTGTGGGGGACTAACCGGTAAGGGGCGCTGGAGCTGCGTCCCCTCGTCCCTAGTGCAGCCTGACGCCAGAGGCCCAGGCCCGTCCAGCAGCCCTTTCCCCCCCCCCCCCGCCCCCCGATCTGCAGGTGCAGAGGACGTGGTGATGGCGTTTTCCAGGTCGGAGACGGAGGACCGGAGGCAGTAGCTGTGAACCCCTTGGAACACCCTGGAAGCTGGCAAGGGCCAAGAGATCTGTGTGGACCTCAGCCAGCCGAGTGGCAGCAGATCGCCTTCCCGCTTCCCCCTGCCCCCTACACCCCACCCCACCCCGCTCCAGGGTCACTCCGCAGGGCTGGCATCTGAAGGCGTCACCGGCGGTGCAGTTACAATTGGCTTAAAAGGACGGACTCATGATTGGCTGCAGGAAGAAACCCTTTTATTTTTAAATCTTGACCAACAGAAACCTTTTATTTTTATTTCTGACTTTTTTTTTTTTTTTTTTTCCAATTTGCTCCTCGGTAGATGGCTTCCCAGGAAGCTCTCCGAGATCTGGTGCTTTATTTAGGTCACTTTTTAGGAATGTGAAGAGGCCCGATTGGCTGCTTAAACTGGAAAAGGATTTTGATTGGCCGGCTCGTGGGAAACGGTTTTTTTTTTCTTTGATTGGCTGCAGGTGTTCTGCTGATAGCAACAGCTTCTCTCTCGTGAATGCTGAAAACAGGGTTTGGGACATTGGTTGTTATATTTGACTTGAAAAGAAAAAAAAAAAAAAGAAAGAAACCAAGTGCGCTTTGCAATATTTATTACACAAAGAGCTTGCTGCTGCTTTCACGTGTCTTGTTTGTGTTTGCATTTGATTTGCTGTCGGTATGTGCGTTTGGTTTCCCGTTGGCTCCTCCGTGGCCCCCGTTTCCGGGGGCGTCCCCCACTCCGCTGCGTCGGCGATGCCTCTCCAGTCCCGGGGTCCACCCGGAGAGTGCATTTGCTCTAATGCCCACACCCAGCCCCCCTGGCGGGGGGGATCCTCCAAGACCCCACGCAGGGTCTACAGCTGGAAGAGAGGGTACCCGAGGTTTGTGCTGTCCTGCGGGAGCAGACCGGAGCTTAGGGGTGACCGTTAGCCAGGATTTATGTTAGTCACTTCCGTGGGTTGGCACCCAGCCAGCTCCCCTTGGGGAGGTGGGAGGAGGTGGATGGCTCCTCGTGGGGATGGGCCGCTCCAGCCTGTCCCTGCTGCGCAGAGGAGCGCGGGGGGGGGGGGGGGGGGCTCTGACCTTTCAGCCATTCCCTCCGTATCTACTTCCTGACGCCTCATCTGGGACTCGTGCTGTAAAGGGCAGGAGCCACTCCCGGCTGTGAGACCCCACAGTGGAGCAGAGGTCTCTGCCTGGGGGCCCAAAACCCCCACACAGGCCCCAGCTTGGCTCACAAGGCCTGGGAGGCCTTCGGCCCCCCACACCCGGCCCCCCACACCCAGCCCCGACCTCCGCCAGCCAGGCTCCCCGGGGCCCTGCCGACCCGCGGTAGGCCTTGGGCCAGGCTCGGGGTCCTCGTGTCCGACGGAAGGGTCCCTCCCTCCCCATGTCAGCCTGGAACGGACATTGTCTGCTTATGAAGTGCTGGCGGAGCCGGCTGGCCGGGCCTTCACTGAGCCCACCGGCCGGCCCCCAACCCAGGTCCCCAGAGACACCGCAGAGCAGCTGGATTTGAAGGGCCGAGAGCCCCAGGTCTCCCCACCGGCCCTCCCGGTTCCCTGGGGGTGGCCTGCCCTTCTCCCGGTGTCTCTCACCAGAGTGGAATCCGGGTGGGGAGGCGGAGAAAAGCGTAGACCTCAGGGACAGGGGCGCCTGGACCCTCCCCCCGACGTGCTAAATGGCTGAGCCCCCCCCCCCACCCCCATGTTGCCTCGGGGAACCCAGAGCCAGGAGAAGATTCTCAGAGCTAAACTGCCCCCTTCTCGGGCCTGGGGCTGTCACGGATCAGGGAGCAGCACTGGGACCACGTGGGCGATTCCTGCTGTGCCCGGAGCCTTGCCCCAGAAAGACCCGCGGGTCACAGCTCGGACAGCCCTGACACGTGGGCCTGGTTAGCTGGCCTGGTTAGGTTAACCTTCAAAGAGCATTGATCCCCAGGGACCGGGCGCTATGGAGACCCCCGCAGGGGCCTGAGAGCATCTTCCTCCAGGAGAGGCAGTCGGTGCGCGCGTGCGCACACAAGCCCAGTCACTCTGAATGTCCTGCCTCCCCTCCAGCTGAGCCCCTGGGGAAAGGTCAGCTTTTCCAAGCCCCTTCCCCCCCGGTCATGACATCTGTCACCAGGCGCCAGTACCATGTTGCCGTTTGCCCTCTCTGTGTACCCGTAGCTCCCACAAAGCCTCCGTGTCCGGGCCAGTGGTGTGTGCTCTGCCCCAGCCTGTCCTTGTCAAGGCCTTGGGGCCTCCCTCTTGTAACAGCAATGGCCTCGATCTGTCTTGTCAACTGAACAAGAAAAGTGAAGGTGTTTCTGTGGCTCCATATTTCGACTAAAACTATATCTGTTGGAGAAAAAAAAATTCACAATAAAGATTTTTAATAGCTTGGTGTGTGAGCTGAGTGGTCTCCCTCAGAGTTGGGTGTGTTCCCTGATTGTCCCGTGTCACGTGGGCTCTGCTTCGAGGCCCTCCGTCCCCAAGGAGGCACCACAGGGAGGGTCGAAAACACCACGTTTGCTAGTTTAATTGTCTGTGACCTGGAGGGGAGCTCGGGGCTTGGACGATTTCCGAGATCTGCCCAGCCCAGCTGACAGGTCCATAGAAGGCTGAGCCCTGGAGATTCTAAATACCGTCTTAGATTGGACTGAGGTCAGTAGTCTTCCGAGGCGACCTCACCCCTCCGTGCTCTCGAGCAGACTCGGAGCATCCTGAAAGGCTGTGGGGACCCTTTCATCCTGGACACCCCAGCCCCCCGTGTGATGGCAGGGGTCTTGGGCTGCTTGTAACAAAAATCCAAACAGAATATCCAGCCCTTCCGTCATCCCAGAAATGGGAGATTGCTTGGTGTTCAGCTGTATATTCAAGTTTAGAAGCTGAAATCATTTCTGCTTTAGGAAATTTTGCTTTGGAAGCATTTTCTAGAATGTTTCATTTCCACCCTTCGTCATCCCATTTTAGGTCTTCATCTTTTTTTTTTTTTTCCCCTGCTTACATGGATTCGCTGCTTCTATTTCCTTTTCAAAGAGTTTCATCTGCGTGCTGAACACTGGGATTTATAGACTCAGGATGGACGGCACAATCATCATCATTTACTCTTAGCTCCGGGAGAGATGTTAAAGGCTGCCTCACAGCCCACACAGTGACCAGATGCGTGCGTCATCCCTGAAGCATCTCTCAAAAGGGCTTGTCTAGGCTTTGCTTGAATACCCTCTAGGATGGGGGACTCACTATCTTACAAGACAGCCCATTGCATCTTCAGGTAACTTACATTCATTTTACATGGAGTCGGCCTGCCTTTCTCTGTAACTTCCTTTTCCAGGAAGGACTTTAAGTTATTCAGGAAAAGATTTTCATTTGATTTTTATTTATCTTAATGTTTGTTTATTTTTTGAGAGAGAGAGAATCAGAGCATGAGCAGGGGAAGGGCAGAGAGCAAAGAAGACACAGAATCGGAAGCAGGCTCCAGGCTCTGAGCTGTCAGCACAGAGCCGGACACAGGTCTTGAACCCACAAACCACAAGATCACCACCTGAGCCAAAGTCGGACGCTTAACTGACTGAGCCCCCCAGGCGCCCCAAGGAAGTGATTTTTAAAAAGACACCTATGTTAGCCAAACATTACAGAGACCCATCAAGGGCTCACGTTAGGTGAACTACTGGTGCTCTGATTTGCACTGTAGAGAGTTAACTTTGGAATTAATCTGCTCTTCTGAACTGAGCAGGTGAGCAGGGGGAGGCGCTGGCGGGCCCTGGCGCCGCTGCACAGCACCAGGCAGACAGCCTGGAAGTGGACCCGGGAGGGAGGCGCCCTCACAGGCTTGTCTAACTCAGTTGTGTCTCTTGTGGGAATTAGGCCACCAAGAAAGAGGAGTCGGGACACCACAGTGTGGAATCCTTCAGGGTCCCTCAGTCTACACCGCAGGCAAGCTTCTGGGCTCACCTTCCTGAGTACAGGTGCAAGCAGCCAGAAATGATGACAGCCACCGGGACCGGGTCTGCTGAGGCCCGAGGCAGCTGGAGGCCGGGCTGAGTTTCCGGGAGGCCGGATGGGCTGAGAAGGAAGGGGGGCGGGGTGGTTGAGTACAAAGTGCTTTTCCCTGACCCTGCAGGTGACTAGCAGCTTCGAGACTCCAGACTATTGCAGCCTTTGAACAGCGCCCTTTGGAGCAGGGAGCCGATCTCCCCCTACCCCCCCACCCCCACCCCCACCCCGTGGCATCTGGTTCAGGGATGGGGACAGGTGCCAGCTTCCGGAGCCGGGAGCCCTGTGGGTCGCGGGGGACCCTACCGCCCCCCACCTGCCGCACCTGCACAGGCGCGTCACCACTCTTTCAATGTCCCTGTTGCCCTCGGCACCCCTTTCCCGGAATTAGACTGACCTGAGGCTGCGTTTAGAAAAAACGCTTCCCTCTCTGATGAAGGAACTCACTTTTCTCGAGCGATAACCGGTGTGTAGGAGATTTGGGAGGCTTGTGGGGGCCGTCACTGCCAGTCCTGATTTAAACAAAGGCCTCCTTAAAGGATAACGGCAGTGAGGGGCGCCTGGGTGGCTTAGTCGGTTAAGCGTCCGACTTTCGCTTGGGTCATGATCTCGCCGTTCGTGGGTTCGAGCCCTGCGTCGGGCTCTGTGCTGACTGCCAGCTCAGAGCCTGGAGCCTGTTTCAGTCTGTGACTCCCTCTCTCTCTGACCCTCCCCTGCTCACGCTGTCTCTCTCTCTCTCCCTCCTAGAAATAAATAAAAAAAATTTTTTTTAAAATTTAAAAAAAAAAAAGGTTAACGGCAGTGAAATGCTTTTTGAGTATCAGCCGGTGCCCGACCCTCGCTTTTCTCCTTGATGTTGAGGCTACCCCCTCACCCCCCAGGGACAGTTTCCCAGAGGGATCAGGCCATCCTGCCAGGCAAGGGGCTCAGGAGAGCCGTGGACCGGGGCTGAGCCTCTTCCCGTCCCCAGGGCAGCGGCAGAGTTCACACCTGGGGAAGGCTGACCCCGACCCCACACATGCAGCCCCAGGAGGTGGCTTCAGACCCAGAATTTCTGAGAGTTTCCACCTCCTGGCCTTCGGCCTCGGCCCTTGAAGGAGGTGGGTTTTTTGCACACCCCTTGTATACGGGTAACTCCCTCATTCTGGTCTCAAGAACACAGGGAGTGTGTATCGGGTGCTACTGCGTGCGGGCGCGCAGCCCTGTATTTCCACCATCTTCAGTCGTGGGTGAGGTGAGTATGGTACTGTCCCCATTTTACAGATGAGGAAATACCATAATTTGCAAAAGGTCAGCGTGGTACAGCCAGAACTTGGAGCTAAGTTATCTGACCCCAGACTCCATGCTTGTAGCCACACTACGCGGGCAGGGGGTAGGGGTGGAGAGTAAACCCTGCATCACTGGATGCCCAGAGCCCTCTCTGTGAGTCCAGGACCAGCCTGGGGTTCGCCCTGTTCTCCAAGTCCCGTGGCGCCCAGCGCTAGCAGGCTGTCCCATATTTGCCAGGTGCTGGGTCCCCAGGTCAGCTGTCCCCTCTGGGGTGAAGCTGGCCTCCCCCCCAACTCAGTGCCCCGGAAGCTACCCCAATCTGGCCTTTGCAACTCCTGCTCTCCACCCTTCACCCACTCTGACACCTCATGAGT